AAGGTTTTTCATTTTTTATATTTTTGAAATTTGTCCATTGCATTTAGATTTTAAAATATTATGCAACCAGGCACAGTGCCACACACCACAACATGTGGGGAGGCTGTGGCAGAAGGAATACAGATTTGAATACTACCTCAGCAACTTGGTTGAGACCCTGTCTCAAATAAAAAGAAGTCTGGGACTGTCACTAAATGGTAGAGCACTCTCAGTACCCTCTGCCAATTTTCATACTTTTTTTGGGGAGGTATCATTTTTTTATGAGTCTTTTAAGATTCATCTTTCAGTTCATGTGTTTGTCTTCTATTTCTTCAATCTCTGCTCTTATCCTAAGTTATTTCTTTTTACTATTTAGGCTTAATTTGCTGCTTTTGTTTAGAACTTGGATGAAAAATACATTATGGATTTCTTTCAGTCTCTTATTTAAGCACATATGTTATTAAGATGGTAGATTTTCTTTTAAGCACAAGTTTAATATTTTCATTGTAATTTAGTTCAACCTATTTTATATTTTTCTTTTTATCAGTTCTTTGATTAGACATTTAGGTATCATTTCTTAATTTCCATGTATATGAGGATTTTCTACTTTTTAGTTTGTATTTATTCTGTCACCCAACAGTTTGCATTGCATGAGTTCTATTCTTTTTTAAATTTTTTTGGTACCAGGGATCAACTCAGGTCCTTGGCACTTGCGAGGCAGGCAGTGGAACCACTTCGCTAAATCCCTGGCCTAGTTCTATTCTTTGATGGTGTTTAAGACTTGTTTTATAGCCCAGAACATGGCCATAAAATGATTTGTGCTCTGAAAAGTTATATATATATTCTGCAGTTGGTAATTCTAATCTTCTTTACATATCAAGTCTCATTTGTTCATTGTGTGTTTAGATCTTTTCTGTGTGTGGTTTTTGTTTGCTAGCATGTTGTTAATTACTTAGAGAACTTTGTCTATTCGCTTCTATTGTAGATTAGCTTTCCCCTTGCACATCGGCAGTTTTTAGCTTGTAACAGACTTCTGGCTCTTGGAGTTTCTAATTTTCCTGTTAGAAATTCCTTTGAATAAAGTTTATTTTGAGATTTTTTCACACCATCTGCATTCCTTTTTTGGTCTATTTCTGTTGTCTGCTCTTTCTCTTGATTTTTCAGGGTCTTGCTTTGTAACAAAGTTCAGGCTGGTCTTGAACTTGAGGAAGTCCTCCTACCTCAGATTCCCGAGTGCTAGGATTATAGGTTTGTGCCACCTTGCTCTGCCTTTCTCTTAATTTTTGCTTACAATATTTTGTTTTCTCAAGTGCCTGCTACTATGAATACTAGAGGTTTTAAATAAAACATTGTAGAGAATTTAAAGTCTTGAGTAATGATACCTTTCTCCAGGGAGAATTTATATTTTGGGAGGAGATTGCTAATGGAATCTTAGATTATTTTAATCCTAGATTATTTCATTATTATTGAATAATTTAAGATGATTTGAAGCTTAACTACAGTTCTTGTGAGGTCTAGATTATTTCTATTTCATCTTATTTTTCTAGTGTGTAGCATTTGAAGGCCCAACATGAGTGTGTGGATTCAGGCCGTCTTGTCTTGTCTTGTCTGTCTGTCTGTCTGTCTTTCTTTCTTTTTCTTTCTTTCTTTCTCTTCTCTTTTCTTTTCTTTCTTTTTTGTCCTTGAGCATCAGTTTTAGGGCCTTGAGACCTGGGGAGTACTCCATTCAGTTCTTTGTGAATTTGGGAATGTATCTCCCAATGCAAGGTTTCCTTTCTGTTCATGACTATAATTCTTTATTGTCCAGTCTAGATTTTTTCTGGCTTTTCTGATTGGTCTCATCAGTCAGTTTTTTTCTTATTTACCTACCCTCAAATACTGGAAGAGCAACCCTGGCATTTTATCAATTAATGGCATTGGTGTTGAGAACTATTGTCTTATATCATCACATAGTTCTCCTTATCTTGTGTAACCATCCTGCCTGTTGATGCCATTCCTACCACTCAGGCTTTTATGATATTTTTTGGTATTTTCCTGCTGTAGGACCTATGTATTTACTCTTTTTTGCCTGCTGAGATCTCTTTTCCCAAATGGCTGAATAATTCACTCTTTTGATCTCACATATCTTCATCAAAAAGTCTCCTCATCAATGATACTTTTTGACTCCTCCAGCGAAGGCCACATATAAAATAGTGATACTTCCCCTCCTTAAAATACTTTTATTTTCTCTATACTCATGGTTATTTAACATGTTGTAATTACTCTGTATTACTATGCCTACACTCTTTAACAGCAGCTTTTTCTTTTGTGTGTTCACCACCTAAAATTGTCTCGTTTATAGTAAATACTATTTGTTGTTGAATGAATACCTGAGGGAAATTAATCATGGGCATGATTATAGGATGCTTGTGAAGATTAAATAAGTGAATGCATGTAAAGTATTAAGAGTAGTACTAGGGATGAAGTCAGAACTCAAGTATTATTTAAAAAATTATTGCCTCACAAATGATCACTTCTCGTTTCTGGACAACTATAAAGATTAAAAACTACCTTGTTCTTTTTACTAGCCTCAGATTTTTAAGCCATTTTCCAGGGGCTTGGCTGATAATGAAACTTAAAACATAGACTTATATTTATGTAGCTAGAGGATTTAGAGAATAGATCTGTGCATTTAACCAGCTTGTGATTTCCATTCAGTCAGGGAACTGCTTTTAATGTAACTTAGTGAGTGGGAGAGTGATTGAATAGACACATTCCTTTTTAATTTTTGTCTCTTAAAGACTACATTCTGGGAGGTGGACAAACTCAAGAATTTTATGTGATGCAAGTGAAATATAATACTAAGCAGATGCTATCGCTTTCTCTTGAAGAGAATATCAAAATTGATCGACCGATTGACCTGAGTGGTAAATATTGACCCAAGCAAATGCTGAAGTCAGTGTTTACCCAAAGGAACAATAAATCTTGATCAGAAACACATAACCTTGGTATTATTACAAAATTTCACTAGAAGTATCTGAAAGCCTTGCGGCATGAATATCTTGAACATAGCTTTCCTTAGGAAAAATGCAATAGCCAACTTTCATGTTCAAGACAGGGAATTATTTAACATACTAAATCACTCGATAAGCTTCTCTGATTTTTTAAAATCTTGGACAGAAAGCTGCTACTTCGGTTCCATACTCATTATGTTATTATTTCTTAGTCTCCTGTTAAGATACTTTATAAGGTAAAAGACAAGGAGAAAATTTCTTTGGCCTTCAATAATCAGTAAGGCTGGGCATGGTGGTGCATGCCTGTAATCCCAGCATGCAGGAGGCTGAGGCAGGCAGATCATTGAAAGTTCAAGGTTAGCCTGGGATGTAGCTCAGCGGTACAGCACCTGCTTGGCAAGTGCCAGGCCCTGAGTTTGATTCCTAGCGCGCGCGCGCGCGCGCACACACACACACACACACACACACACACACACGAAGGAGGCAATTATACAAGATTGTATTAGTCACTTTCCTGTTGCTGGGACAAAATACCTTATGTACACAATTTAAGAAGGAAAGGTTTACTTTGGCTCATTTTTTCAGAGGGTGCGGTCTGTTTTTGGCTCCAAGGCAGAAACACCTGGTGGAGAAAAGTTGTTCAGCCCTTGGAATCCAGGAAGCAGAAAGCCCCCTAAAGGCACGTCTCCAGGGGCCCACCTTGTACAACTTGGCCCCACCTCCTAATAGTGTACTTAAGCTGGGAAGTCATCAATGGATTGATTAATCCACTAATAAATTGAGCAACCCTTTCAAGATCCAGTTACCTTCTGAACCCATGAGACTTTGGAGGACATTTTAGATTTAAACTGTAACAAAGACTATGTCTGATACTCAAGTTAACTGTTGAAAAGTTGATGTGAGAGAAAGGGTTTATGGTGGAGGGGAACTGTAAATAAAATCTTGAATAGGATTTGAAGTGGCAGAGGAATATTTTACATTTTATATTTTTTGAGTTTGATAATTGGATTTCTGAAAACATAAGATTTAATATGTTGACTTTAAAAATGTATAGTTATTATATAGGTACTTGTTTAAGTTACTTATATAAATTTTAAAAATACTTGAGAAGATATAAGTAAAAATAAATTCTATCAGAGGTAACTACTTTTAACATTTTAACAAGTCTTTCCAGACCCTTCCATTCCCTCCCCTCTCCCTCTCCTCCCCTCCCTTCTCCCCTCTCCCTCTCTCCCTTCTCCCCCTCTGTCCCTCTCTCCCTCTCTCTTTCGAGACAGGGTCTCATTATGTTGTTTAGGCTGGACTTGAACTCACACTATAGCCTAGGCTGGCGTGGAACTTGTGTTGATCCTCCTGCCTCAGCCTTCCAATTGTTAAGATTATAGGCATGTGCCACCATGCCTGACTCTCTAAAACCTTTTGTATTCAAGTATGTAGCAGATGTGAATATATAGTCTCTTAGTCTGCCTGGGCTGCTGTAAGAGAACACCTTAAGACTAGGGAGTTTGTGAACAATAGAAATATATTGCCCCCATTTCTGGAAGGTGAAATCCAAGATCAAGGCTCCAGCAGACTTGGTGTCTGGTAAAGATCAGAATTGGGATTTGGGTTAGGGTCTGTTCCTTATAGATGGCACCTGCTATGTGTCTTCACCTGATGGAAGAGACAACTCTCAGGATTCTTCTGTAACAGTTCTGTCACAACCCACATGCTTTTCCAAGCACTGCTTTACTTGCATTAAGTTTCAACAGGAATTATTGGAGGATGGAAACATTCAGACCATAGCATATGTATAGATATTTGTGTGTATATGTGAGTTAAATGAGAAAATAAATATAAAAAGTGATATTACATGGTTTCAGAAAGATTTGTGTTTAAACATTTTGCTCTTTTAGATTATGAGTGTGGTAGTTTATCAGTAAAAAAGTGTGGCCTTTGTGTGTGATTTCTGAGATTTATTTTATCTGAATTTATTAGAGTAAATGCTATCATTTGTTTTGAATGACAGTGAAGCTCTCATTTTTTTAGGTGCTGGCTCTTCAGCTCTAAAGAGACCGTTTGAAGATGGATTAGGGGATGATAAAGATCCCAATAAGAAGATGAAACGAAACTTAAGGAAAAGTGTGTAAAACTTTTATTTTTCAGTTGATGTGAACTAGAAAGGATTTGTAGCCTCAGATAAGAAAATAGAAAGTGAAATATTTGGTTCATTTGATTTAGAGTTTTAGGGTAAATTTTAACTAAGAAATTGATTCTTGAACAACTTTTGTTTTCAGACTTCATTGTTTAAGGTAGATTAATATTGACAAGTGGAAATTAATGTATATATATAGTTAGTGAAGCATATTATTTTTATAGTTATGTCAATATGATAATTGAGTAATATTAACTACTTATGAAATTAATTTTGTATGTTTATTTTGCAATCTTCATTTTTAAATACCTGGTAAATTTGTGGTGGTTACTAGGAACCTAAAAATGTATAGATTAAAAGCAAATTCGCTTTCTAGCTAACTTCTGATCTCATTTCTCTTTCCTTAACAGTCCTGGATAGTAAAGCAATAGACCTTATGAATGCACTAATGAGGCTCAATCAAATCAGGCCTGGGCTTCAGTATAAGCTCTTGTCTCAGTCGGGCCCTGTCCATGCTCCGGTCTTCACAATGTCTGTAGATGTTGATGGAACAACATACGAAGCCTCAGGACCATCCAAGAAAACTGCAAAACTTCACGTAGCAGTGAAGGTACAGAATTTATTTTTGCTTACCAATGGTTTGTTGTTTTAAGTTCCAAATAAAATGCTTATTTATTTACCTGTGGTAAATCAATATCTTCAAAATTTTCACAACAGTAACATAGAAACTCATCACCTTCAGATTACAAAAAACTTTTTATTATAAAAAATAATGTGTATTAGAAAATATAGTAAAAAAAAACTCAGTTACATATTTCTGAGGCAAAGATTATTGATACTTCAATATAGTATGTTGGTTTATTTCTTTTTCTGTTTTGTTTTCAAGTTAGACCCACAATATATATAATTTTATCCTGTAATTGTTTTTAATTAGTTTATTAGTATTTTTCTAATTGAAAGCTTCATAAATAATTTTAAATGGCTGTATGATTAACATGAATTTTTTTTTGCTGAAACCCTTTTCTATCATTGAATATTTTGCCATTTCCAGTTTTGTTGTCATAAATATATTTGATTAGTATTTTATGCATGCTGCTATTTTGTATTTCAAAGTATTTCCATGGGGAATAATGTTTGGGATTGGGCCAATTGGTCATGCATGCAGATTTATAGAAAATTCCCAAATAATGGAATCTCTTTGTAAGTACATTTAACTTCTTGAATGCCAGAATGTCAAAGATCATGTAGTCCAAAGATTGTCACTTGAGAAAAATTCTGTTCTATAACAGTATGGCACAAAATGTTTTTGTGGTCATTTCAATATGTTACAAGTAGTATTAATGTGGATGCAAACACTGTCCTAGATAGTAGAGATATAACAGTGAGCAAAGAGAAGTACCTATTTTCATGGAATTGATGTCCCACCATGGGTGTGATGTGGATACAGACAATAAATATATAAGAAGCATATGATAGGTCAGTCAGTGATTAGAACAGTGCCCAAAAATAGTAACAAAGAGGTAGAAATATTAATATATCCTGTATTATTTACAGAATGGATTTCTAGACTGTGATGAAAGAGTATGAGTTTAAAATGAGGTAGAAAAGTAGATCCAGGACTAAGGCTAAAAATATAGTTTAATGAGTTAGCTATTGTGTACTTTTGAGAATGAGTCACAAATTTAGAGCTAAATTCTGTAGCAAATGACATTAAAAATGTGTGAAATATACAAGCTACTGACTATGACTTGAAAATGGTAGATTTATAAGTGTCTTAAGTATTTTTGTATAAATATGAGGTAGAATTCCTCTTTGGATCTTCACAAAGAAGGGTATCAGTGATACTCTTTGAAGCTGACTTTGATGGAGTGTTTTTTTTGGGGGGTGTGGTACTGGGGGATCAAGCTCAGCACTGTGCTTGTGAGGAGGACCCGGTGCCACTGAGCTAAATCCCCGCCATGTGGGGTTTTTTTGTTTGTTTGTTTGTTTTGTTTTTTTTGAGACAGGGTCTCACTACGGTAGTTAAGACTGACCTGGAACTCACTATGTAGCCCAGGCTGGTGTCACAGCAATCCTCCTGCCTCAGCCTCCCAAATGCTGGGATTACAGGTGTGCGCCACCATGCCCGGTACATGGGTTGTTTTTTTAAATAAATAATCTTTAGGATAACCTAGTGGCCCCAGAGCAACTTCCAATTCAGTAAAATTGGTGGGTATTTTCTTTTTTTAGTAGAATAACAAATGTTTCTATATAATGAATTAGATGTTAATTTCTTATTTGATACAGTGATACATTTTTATAGAATAATGGAATTTGAATGGACTGGGAATGCTTTGTCTTCACTTCTTGTTTTTGTTTTTGTTTCTTGAGACAGGGTCTCACTATGTAGTTGAGACTGACCTGGAACTCACTATGTAGCCGGGTGGTCTTTTTATAGAATAATGGAATTTGAATGGACTGGGAATGCTTTGTCTTCACTTCTTGTTTTTGTTTTTGTTTCTTGAGACAGGGTCTCACTATGTAGTTGAGACTGACCTGGAACTCACTATGTAGCCCAGGGTGGTCTTGAACTCACAGCGATCCTCCTGCCTCAGTCTCCTGAGTGCTGGGATTACAGGTGTGCACTACCACACCTGGTGCTTTGTCTTCACTTCTGAAGTTTGGTTTTTTATTTTTTTCTGTCTGAACTTTTGGCAAACATGGAGGGGCCTGTATATTTGGGTCCTGTACATTCTGTGATAAACATTTGGAATATGTACGTATCAGTTAAAATCTGAATGGTGTTGGATCTGAGAAGAGTTTGTAAAGGGCTCTTGTGACATGTGTGGAAATAGATGGCTTTCACACTTTTTTTTTCTTAACCTTGAGTTGCAGTGTGGATAGATTGTGCACTTGACTGCTAAATCCAAAATATGCGAAGAGTTGAGATTTGGGCTGTTTGAAAATGGGATAAACTGGACTTCTGCTTCACTCAGGTGGAATAAGTATCAGGGTAAACCAGCTCTGAATGTTTGAAAAATCTCTGCTTTAATATTTTATTTGGCTGAATGTGTTTAATCAGCAATCTGATGTGAAGGCCTGGTGCTCTGTCAGCAATAGCCTACATTGGGCTGGGGATTTAGCTGGGGATTTACCTCAGTGGTTCCACCACCTGCCTCAAAAGCATAAGGTCCCGAGTTTGAGCCCCACTACCAAAAGAAAAAAAAAAAAAAAAAGGAAAAGAGAAAGAAAAAAGAAATATCCTGCATCTTTTCTGGGCCCCAGTAGTCTTACTCAGATTTATGCACTCTGTAGTTGGATTCCAGGTTTTGCTTTCTGTGTTGAGACAAAAGTTTGATACAAACCCACTGGCAAAACCTGAGCTGAAGAGATATGGGTCCATTTTTAGTCTTTATTATTCTGTTTGGTGTGTGTATTTTGTATATTTCTTTGCACAAAAATGGGATAGCACCTGAGAGCCCATTGAAATTGGCAGATGTGTGATCTGTGTATTGCAGTAACTTTGAAACTGGAAAATTAATGAATTTTCAGCCTGGTCCAAGGTTTCATTTGAGGGTATCATAATGTGTATAAAGTAGATTCATGCCTTTTTCATTTATTGAGAAATATAGTATGAATATTTTATAGTTAACACAAAAATTGTACTCATTTTTTACTCAGGAACAAATATTTTATTTTTATCAAGCTACCATAAAGTAATTGTTTTAGATTTAGATCTTCCAGTTTATTACTTTGTATTGTTTAAACTTGTCTGCTTATTCTTTAACATATATTTTAGAGATGGAATTACTAGGCCAAAGGGAAAGCACATTTAAATAATTCATTTGTTCATTAAAAAATATGTTGGTATTCTGATATGTGCCAGGCATTGCCAAATTACCATCCATAAAGATTATACCATGTTACATCTTCCATTTATAAATGTGTTAAATATTACGTCTTCCATTTGTTCAGGAACACAGGTCCCACTAGATAAAAATCTTCACAGTCCTTACTCAGGAACTTGGCAGGGTATCTATAGCTATTAAGACAGATCACACTAGAGAATCAAATCAAAATGAAGCACGCAGTCCATTCCTGCCACATGAGCCTGTCCACCCAGCAGCAGGTTCCCAAGTGATCCAGATTAGTGGGAAGCACTTCCCTTTCCTCTTCCAGTTTTTTACTCTGGCAGCCCCTCACAAAGGGCACATTTAGAGACATGATGAGCCACATTCCACATAAACAACCTTAGTAATTTGGAGGAAAAAGATCAGCTAGAATGTGACGAGGAATGAAGGCTCTTATTAGACAGCTGCTTACTCAGATCCCTTGAGTATCTGATGAAATCAGATCTCCATGCAACAGAAGCCATGGACATTACTTTCTTTTGAGTAGAGAGCCATGGGGTAGAGTGCCATGTATTGTATTTTCAATCCTGGTCCCTAGGTTTCAAGGGTATCATCTTTCTCAGTCATAACATTTATCAGCCTCAGCCCTCTTCCTGGAAGAAAGGAACATGGCCATGTACAGCTTATTTTCAAAGTTATCCTATTTCCATGAATTACATTGGACCCTTGATTTAACAAACTCAATTTGTTCTCGAGGGCTGGTTATAACTCAGCTTGGTCAATCAAAGGTTCAGGCTACTCTGCACAGCCTTCAGTGTCTATCTTCTGTGTACAGGCAGGTCTCTAAGGCAGTCCTTAGAGAGACTTTGGGCAGGATTCCTCAGTTAATCCCACACAGGAAAAGGTGTAATGTTCCTTCCATAGCTCTTTAATGGTTAATATATCTGAGACCATCTGGAAGCACAAGTGGCCAACATTCGGGTCATAACTCAAGCCTTTGGTCATAACTTGAAGGTCCTTGTGTCTTGTGATTTTTAAAGCTCCATTGATAATGTTTATTAGGTTTGGATTTATTTGCCAGGCATTGAAACTCCCATTTTTCTGTTATGCTGTTGATATGGGCCTGAATATTGATTCTAGACAAACTTGTATTCTGTCAGAGAAAAACAGAGCTAGACGGTTGTCATACCAGTAAAAATAGGAACTAGTGCAATAGAAAGACCTCAGTATAGAGCCAGGCTCAATTCTGAATATAATATGGGGATTTGTAGCCGCGGAACCAGGAGGGATCAGTGAATGGAAAAGTACTAAGAGGAAGCATCAGGTATAAAAGAGGCTTTCTGGTTACCAGACAAGATTCTTGGTAAAGGCAGACCAGGCTGGTCAAACATCACCTGGGGAAGGTGGGAGAGGAGGAAACTCGATCAGCTGTGGGGAAGGTGGGGGGGAGGTGGGAGAGTCTGGCTACACCAATGTAGTGAGATTCTTGCTACACCTGGGCTCTTAAGGACAAGGACTTAGGATGGGACTTAGTTGAAAAAGTAGCTAAGTGGATCCTGTTTAATTTGGTCATTTTCAGAGGTCTGAGAACTTTTTGTTTTGTAAACTTTTGTAGTATATACTAGTAAAAGCTCTTAGAATTTGTGTTCATAGAAAAATGAAATTTTATTCTTTTAAAAAGAGTTACTAGCTATTTTTATTGAAAGTGAACACTGTATTTCTTGAGAAGGTAGTCCATCCATCATACACAATTTGTCTAAATGTATTGGTTTGTGTTCCTATGATTAAAAAAAATGACTGACGTGAAAAAGTGGTAGGTTCCTTTAAATTAGTTTACATTAGACTGTTCTGATTGTCTGTATTATGTTGGTAATTGCTGCATGACTTGACTTTTTACAAATTTATTTGTGATGCTTGGCTTTTGCAGCCTGGGTCACCTGGGATTAATTTTTGGACTGATAACTTCTCTGAGATGAGATTCTCAGGGAGGGCATATTTGCAGGACCCAGCAGAGAAGGTGTTTTCTTTTTATTTTTTTTTAATCTTTGGTTAAGTTTATTGGTACACTTACGGTATACATTACAGTTACATTCATCATTGGGATCTTGTACCTTTACATAACTTATCTTGGTTCTTATTTTTCCCCATACCCCAGCCCTCTCTTCACCCCCTCTACCCTCCCCTATTTACGAAGACATTGTTTCCATGTTTTTCCTTTTCACATATTTTTTTCTTTTCCGTTTACCATTCCCCTGTCTCTCCCACTTCCTCTACTCTTTTAGATTTTTCTTCCTATTTTATTTATATATTTTATATTTTGATCCTCATTTACACTTCTAGTTTTTCACACCAGAGAAATTTTTCAGTATTTTACACATGTGTGACTTGCTAATTTCTTATTTTTTTGGTACTGGGGATTGAACTCAGGACCCTGCACTTGTGAGGCAGGTGGCAGAACCACTGAGCTAACCCCCCCCCCCGTTTTGAGACTTACTAATTTCACTTTAGAGTATGGCCTCAATGTGCATCCACTTAGCTATAAATATCTCTAGTTTCTCCTTTTTTATGGCTGAGTAGTACTCCATTTTATATTAAAACACATCTTTATCCAGTCTCCAGTTGATGAGCAATTTCTTTATAAAATATTGATGCAGATAGAACCAAATTATATTAATGTACTTAGTGTAAAGTACTACCTGAGTACTTTTAGAATTTAAGATGTAAAAAATAGCTTTATTCCCAATAAATAGAAAGAATTTATCAGAATGCCAAGTTCTCCATATATGAGTTGGATGGATTAACTTCAAGTTCTCTATGTACAGCATTCTACTTAAGCCTCTTTAAAAAAAAAATCATTTGAAAAAAATACTTGTTGGCCAAATCATTAACACATGACACCATTGTCTTTGAGGGCATTTCTCATTCGTGGGGCTATTGTAACAGTTTTTGGAGTTATGTGTTTAGTACATCTGATACAGTAAAGAAATGTGATGTTGCTTCAGGAAAGCAAACAGTAAAAGTGAAAACAAATTCAGCAGCCTTTAGGAACTTATCCTTGTATCCTCTGATTTAAAGCTTTTTTTAAGGGATGAGAGGTGTGGTGCAGTGGTGAGCTCATGCTTTGTATGGAGAAGCCCTGGGTTCTGTCCGCAGCAAACTACCATACTGTAATCAAGCTGTGTTAGAAAGGAATGAACATAGAAGTCCAAAATTGTGCTTAGTTCATTTGGAAATAAAGTAAACCTAGAGATTAAATCTTTTTTTCCCAGGTCTCAATTATGATTTAAGTTAGCGATCCCCAATCTTTTTGGTACCAGAGATTGGTTTCATGAATGTGTTATTGGGGATGCACACATGAGCATGTGTGCAGTGGTCGCTTTGGTGTTGGTTGGTCGATTTGGGGATTAGATTCTTATAAAATGGAACCCACAACTTAAGATCCCTTGCACGTGCCGTGCACAGAGGGCTTCATACTCCAGTGAGAATCCAATGCTAAGGCAGAGCTCAGGCTGCAATGCAAGTGATGGGGAGCAGATGAAGCACAAAGCTTCCCTTACCTTCTCCTGTGCGGCTTGGTTCCTAACAGGCCAGAGATCGGTAGTGGTCTGTGGCCTGGGGGATGGGAACCCCTGATTTAAGTTTAAAGCACAGTTGAGTAGAAAGCTTTAGATGTTGTAAATTCCTTTCTGGGCCACTTTCCATTCCTAGTTTGAGCCACAGAATTTAGAAATGGGGCAGGGGATTTAGCTCAGTGGCACCACACCTGTCTGGAAAGCTCAGAGTATCCTGAGTTTGATCTCAAGAACAGGGTGGATTAGGGGAGAGAATTTAGAGATCAACTACTATAGTCTTGCTGTTTTGCAAAATTGAGAAGAGATTCTCAGGTCTTTTCCTTTCCAGCCCAGTGTACAGTTTTCACGGTGCTATTTGACTTTCCCCTCATCCCATTGATTGAACCTGGCTGTGCCATCTTTCCAAATCAAAAGAACTGGGAGCAACCTCAAGCTTGCATTTTTGTTATCTTTTATTTGAAATCTGATTACTCTGAGCAGATTTCTTCTCTTTCCTACAGTGCTATCCTGGTAGGTATACCTTATTTAACCAAGGATTTATAGATTTAGCATTGTCTTGCTCTTAAAAGATGTTTTATGAGCCCAAATGTTATGAATTTGAAATGTTCATTCTCAGTGTTTCATCTATTCTGTATAATCTCTGGTGTGTGAATAAAATTTCATTTTAATGTAATTTACACAGGTATTGCAGGCAATGGGATACCCAACAGGCTTTGATGCAGATATTGAATGTATGAGTTCCGATGAAAAATCAGACAATGAAGGCAAAAATGAAACAGTGTCTTCAAACTCAAGCAATAATACTGGAAATTCTACAACTGAAACCTCCAGTACCTTAGAGGTATACTACCTACACACACACACACACACACACACACACACACACACACACACACACACACACACACACACACACACACACACACACACACACACACACACACATGCACGCACACACACACGCACGCATGCACGCACGCACATTGTTGTTAGAAAAGGGTAATATACATGTAGAAAATTTGAGAGATTTGGAAAATATAAATAAAAAAATAAACGTATAAATCTGTGTATTTTAGAGGTAGACATTAATACTTTGTCTTAATTTCTTGAATATTTTTATGAAAGCAATTGGATTTTGTGCTGTTTTACATTTTGATTTGTTTTCACTTAACTCTGAAAATACCTGACAATATTTTATACTGTCCAGCACAGGAATAGACCTTAATTTAACTAGCACTTTACTATTGTTAGCCATGGAAGTTGTTCTGTTATGTTACAGTTACGGTGCATCAAGGATATCAACAATTAAAAAATAAAAAAGCTAAAAGATCCAGTGGAAGAAATTTGGGGCTATTCAAAGAGTGTGCTAAACTGGGGTGTGTATGTGTGTAAGAATTAGGCCATCATTTAGTTGGTCCAAGTCCACAGGAGAAGAAGGAATAATCTGATGTAGAATGGACTTCAGCATCTGAATAAGTTCTGACCTGTGAGCTTATTGCTAAAGACAGCAGAATGGGATGAAAACGAAGTACCAAGCACGCACAGCACATTGGCAGGTTCATGGAACTCTTGTTTACTGGATTCCCTCTAAAGAAAATTGGCTTTGAGTAACAGAGCTTACATATTAATTTTTGTTTTATTTTGTCATTTGTAATAATAAGTTTTTTGCTTTTCTGGCTTTTGTGGTTTGTCTGTTTATTTTGTACTGGGGAATCAAACTTAGGGCCTTGCACTTGCCAGGCAGGTGCTGTGCCACTGAGCTACATCCCTGGCCAAGAGTACATATTTATTAAGGACTCAATGCTGTTTTTCTCAGTCCACAAGTCCTTTTTAGTACCTGCTTAGCTCTATCTACTGCATTGTGTCTAGAGCCTGAAGATTTTCTGAGTCTAAAAGGGGAAAAAGACATTTATAATAACAGATAATGTAATATGATAAGCCTATGATTTCAGAATAAATATAATGATGTGAAATCCTAACGAGAAAGTGGTTGTGTAAGTAGAAGATAGTTGGGTACGTGGGGAAGAGGTGGAAGGAAGGCATTCTAGGCTGAAAGAAGAAGGGAGGCACCATGATATGGCGTTGAAAGCCCATGTTTGAGAAGTGCCAAGTGGTGGACCACTGGGGAGTGGACCGATGGGGGCTGAAGTCTGAGAAAGGGTCCTAGACAGTCTATTGGCTGCTGTGCAGACAAATGTGGCACCCAGCTGTGTTCTGTATGCTGGTTTATAGGTGGTGGTCGCAGGGCAAAGATGTTGCTTTGCCAGCTGTGTTATGTATAACAGTAGAAGAAAGGGTTTGTGGATTACAAAGATCAGGCTGTTAAGTAAAAAGAGAGCAGAGTGGCCCACAATAATAGCAGCTATATGAACATGTGGAGGTTTTGGTAGTAGCTGCGTCTATGCTTAGTTTCTGCATAACGAAGTAATGAGTGGGGAGGAGCTCTTGTTTTTCATTTCTTCATTAAAAATAGTAGTCATAATTAAAATTTAAGTGTTTCTTAGGGCCAAGGATCTAGCTCAGTGGTTCCACCGCCTGCCTTGCAAGCACAAGGATCTGAGTTCAATCCCTGGTACCAAAAAAAAAAAAAAAAAAAATTTAAATGTTTCTTTCTTTCTTGGTGTTAGAGATTGAATCTAGGGCTTCACATATGCTTAACACGTACCCACCAAGCTATACTTCTAGCTCTCAAATTCAAATATTTCTGTGTCTGGTCAGGCATGGTGGCTTATACTTGTAATCCCAGCTACTCTGGAGGTCAAGATAGGAAGGAGGCTTGCAAGTTGAAGGCTTGACTGAATAACTTAATTAAACCCTGACTTACTTAAAAAAAAAAAATGGAGGTTGCTGGAGGTGTAGCTCTGTGATAGAACACTTGCCTTGCATGCTCATGGCCCTCCCTGGGTTTAGTCCTCATTATCTCCCCATCACACACAGATTTATGTCTGTACTCATTTTTATAAACAGGTTTGGTGAGCAGAGAGTGATTAGTATAAATCTAGTTTCAAAAAATAACTCTATCTTTAAAAGATGGAGAGTACATATTTTAAAAGTATAAATTATGAAAATATATTAAGAAGGGAGTTTATTACAAAATATCCATGAGTGTATATTAAACTTGCTTTGAAAACTTCCTGCTGTTCACTTCAGCAGCTACTTATCCAATCCACAGAGTACTGTATTATGAATGTCTTGATGTCCATTAGGTTTATATGCATAATACTTTTAGGCATTTATTTTGTTCAGCACTTTTCCCCCCCTTAAATTATTTTATTGGTACATTTTAGGTATACGGTACATTTACATTCACCATTAGGAACTTGTACCTTTACATGATGTATCTTGGTTCTTATTTTTTTCCCATTCCCCTGTCCTCCCTTCAACCCCTCCACTCCTCCCTATTTGCAAAGGCTTTGTTTCCATTTTTTTTCTTTTCTCGTATTTTTTTCCTTTCCCTTATTTCCTTTCCCCTACCTCTGTCACTTCCCCTAACCCCTTTGGATCTTTTCTTCCTATTTCACATTATCAGTTATTCATTTTAATCTTCATTTACACTTTCAGTTTCTCATACCAGAGAAACTATTTTTCAGCACTTTTTGAGCAGTCACTATAATGGAATTACAGATGTGATCCTTGAACTCAAAAAGGTGCTCTATCTCTGATCCTTTCCTTTGTCACATTTTTAGTGCTTTGTGGGTTTTATTTGTTTGTTTGTGGTGCTAGCTTCTTTCTTCATGGGAATCTTCATACACTAATTACTTCTTTTCCCTACTCCCCCCCACCCCTTTTTCCCCCTCAGTAATGGGGATTAAACTTTGGTCCTTGTGCTTGCAAGGCAGGTGGCGGAGACACTGAATTAAATCCCTGGCCCTCTTTTCCCTACTTCTATTCTTACCTTTCTTCAACACAGTTCTTTGTAACTCAAGCCAAGTTTAGTCCTGTTACTTTTCAGGTTAAACTCTTGGAGTGGCTTCCCACTATCTATGGTGAAATCAAGGCTTATTTGCTTGGTATGCAAAGTTCCATGCGATTTGGCACTGCCCAGGATGCTTCCAGTGAGACCCTGTCACACCACCTTCTTCTCCTTATTTCCTTACATGTTTAGACTGAACTTTGCAATATTCTCCCAACAAATCTTCTTTGCCTCTCTTGGGCCTTTGCATTGCTCTTTTACCTGTCAGGATGTCCTTTTCCCTATGATTCTCACGGTGATGCTCTAATAGTTCTGTAAGGCTGGGTTCACAGCTCAAGAAAACTGCCCAGATTGCACTGGAAAGTCATACATCCGTATGACTTTGCTTCTGCAGCATACATCCGTGCTGTAACATGCATTGTTTTACAGTGATTAATCTGCCCTTCCCAGTATACCCTAGCTCCTTGAAGGCAGGGAATGATTAACTTTTTTGTTGTCGTTAAAATATCAGAACTACCGTGTATAGACTGCTGTTTTTCACCTAAGGTGTACTTAAATCTTTTAAGAAAGAATATTTCCTTCCATATCCCAGATTTAGGGTTATTTCTTCCTAACACTAATGGTGGAAAACAGTGAACCCTCAGGCATCATGTGAATCCCTGTTCCGTCCTCTTTGTTAGTTATTTCATGTTATTTTTAGAGTATGAACAGGACAGATCAGACCTGGACACCATAGAGTGGCATGGCTACATTAGTCCTTGAATACTGGTCTGTTGGGACCAGTGTTTGAAGGCAGGCTGGCAGGTGACTATCCCATTTATTGCTTGTACAGCTTCCACACCTTTGATGATATTTCGCCATCAGTGTACAGAGGTGACTCATCCTAAGCCTTAAGTGTTTTAAAGTAGAATTTTGAGCCTCTTTTTAGCATAATTGTATTCATGATTTTAGAATATTAAACTTCTTATTAAACTTGATTGAAATTAAGATGTTATATACGTGTACCAGTTCCCCACAGAGAATGTGATCATTGTGTACTGCCAACATATACTTATAAAAAGTAAAAATTGAGAAAAATCTTACTTGATTGACCCTCCAGCTTCCCTTTGTCTTTTAGGTAAGAACTCAGGGCCCTATCCTCACAGCAAGTGGCAAAAATCCTGTAATGGAGCTCAATGAAAAAAGACGAGGTCTCAAGTATGAACTCATCTCAGAGACTGGTGGAAGCCACGACAAGCGGTTTGTAATGGAGGTGTGTGCCTAGATACGTGCCACTCTTGTGTTCCTCTCACAGATGGGATATCCTTCCCTGAATGTAAAAAGTTTTAGACTTTATCGGTTCTTTTGGAACTACGTAACTTATCATGGTGTTTTCCATGTTACAGAATGTTAAAATTTAAAATTTCATAGAGGAATTGTGTGGGATAATTGCAGTTATGTTCTTGATTTTAGGTAGAAGTAGATGGACAGAAATTCAGAGGCGCAGGTCCAAATAAGAAAGTAGCAAAAGCAAGTGCAGCTTTAGCTGCTCTGGAGAAGTTGTTTTCTGGACCCAATGCAGCAAATAATAAGAAAAAGAAGATTATTCCTCAGGTATGAGTTAAGCAAAACCTTTGCAGTGTCTTTGGAAAATGCTGTAAGAATTAAATTCCTATGTGCTACTGTTAGCTTTTTCTGAAGTTGGTTCTTTTTCATAAATTTGGCAGCCTTTTCTTTGAATTAGATCATTAATAGTATACATTAGGAACTATAAGTCCCTGTTCTATGGTTTTTGCGGGCAATTTATATTTATAAAAGAGAGGCTGTTAGCATTATTGGGAAAGTTGAGGTCATTCTTGGTCAGGTAAGATGTTAATGCGAGCTAGGCTTTCTGTAGTGTGAGCTTTTGTCTTTCTCATATCTGCCAGACTGCCTCACACTGCCTTGGGCTCACTTTCCTTGAGTCTATAGCTGCTCTCCCACTTTCTTTCTGCTGTGTCCTTTTGCATTGTTTATTTGGGGCTTTCCTCTGTGGATGGTACAAAAGGTGACACTGTGCTGCATCTGAAATATTGACAGTGGGAATGTCAGTGCCACTGGAGGAATTTGGATAACACAGTCTCCTAAATATGTGCTTTGCAGTACAAGATTCTTCCATCCATTAATGTATCAAAAATATTTCTAGATTATGTACCATGTGCATGATTATATGAGAAAAAGATGTAAGTAAATTTAAGACATTCTCTGCCCCATGGAGAGGGCTGGTAATAGTAATATCTGAAAATACTGTGTGATAGAAATGCTTACTTTGATAGAAATAACTTTAGACTATTTAAACTTCTATGTTAGGGCCAGGGATTTAGCTCAGTGTTTCCACTGCCTGCTTTACAAGTGCAAGGACCCAGGTTTGATCCCTGGTACCCCCCCCTCAAAAAAAACCACATGTTAAACATATTTATATCGTTACACATGTGGAATTTATGGATCTCCTTTTAAGAAGAGAGGGGCATATCCTCTCACAACTAATACAGGTTAGAGATTACCTTTTAACCTAGGTATTCTCCATACAAAGGTCACGGTCATTCTATCACATGTTATATCCATCTAGACAGTTGTTTTGTATTGAGTCAAACTTCTTATATCAACTGTAATAAACACTTAAATTCTAGGAGTAATAGTATAAACAAAACTAATTCTTATTGAGCTTAAATAAGCAAAGTTTTTAAATTATAGTGATACATATGTAGAAAATAAGATCTCTTTTTTTCTAAATCCTTTTAGTAAGTACAGGTCAAAACATACTAGATTAAGTAGAAAGGTCATTCTTTCCTTATATATATATGTATATGTATGTATGTATGTATGTATGTAGGGCTGGGGATTTAGCTCAGTGGTGCTGCTGCCTGCCTCACAAGCTCAAGGACCCGAGTCCAATCCCCAGTACCAGAAAAAAAGAAACTTTCAATGTATATTTGTATGTATTTCTCCTGGGTAACATTAATTTTATTTAGACAGTTAATTTTACTATTTAGAAAGCCTAGGTTCAAATATTTATTAGGTAGTTAAGTATGTCTCTAACAGAGTTAGATCTGTATGGAATCACTTTGCTGCTGCCAGTTTATTGCTTCCTGACTACTTTCAACCAAGCCATATTTTAAAAAAATGTTCACTCTTTTAGAATTTTTCCATACTAGAAGCTGTAAAGCTTTTTTGTTCAATGTGCTTGACAGCTGAGGATCAGTCTTATTTTGGATGTGTGGGTTGGTTTATTTCAGGCAAAAAGGAAAAAAAAATGATTGTCCCTGTGCAGGATACATTTGACCTTGAAAGTATCTTCTGGCTAGTCATAGCAGAGCTAGTGCCTATCCTGGGAGGAAGGAAAGGGTAATGATTTTTCCACCTGAGATGAATATGTGTGTCTTCTGACTCTTAGCTTTTGAGACTGTTGACTTAATTAGACAGTGTGTTTTGAGGCTCTGCACCATTTTCTACACCTTGGTTATAGTAGGGAATTCCAGTGTTTTCTAGTTTTGAGTTGTTATTGTATTTTATACTAAAATATATTTGTGTAATATATTTAAGTGTAAATAGTAAGTATATTTAATTTAAAACCTGGCACTTTGATTTCTTAAATTTTCAGTTTTTGGTTCTTTTCAAAGGGTTTTATGTTTTTTCTTTTAGTCACTTTTTCTAAAGTGAGGAAAACAAAGTGGGCATCATTATCCTCATTTTACAGTTAGAGGGGAATCTGCCAGAGAGAGCTATTATGTGACTTCACCAGTGTCCATGTCATTTTAGAGAAAGAAGGAATTTTGGAGGTGGTATTTAATAATTGATACACAAAAAGGTAGGCACATATAGAAATATAGTAGAATAAAGAAACTTTAAAAATCTCACAACTTTCCTGAGGTCATAGATGAGGAACTGCCACCCTCATCTTTTGTCTTTCTGCCTTAGTCTTTTCTTTTTTTAACCCCATACCGTTACACGTATATTTCTAGATAATTTGTTAGTGGGATATAGTCTGCCTCTGAGTAGAAAATCCAGTGACTTTAGAACCTGGGTATTGAGTGTGTATAATTACTTAAGTCAGGAAGAAAATGACTTGGAATGTAATCCAACCACTAAAATTTGTGGTAAAGTACACATTCTTTCAAGGGTGAAAATGTTAGCTGGATACTTTATATGCCCGGTATATTCTTCAGAACAATTCTGTAAAGCAGGTGTCATTTCGGTGTTGTAGAAACATTGTTCCTTATGGTGGTTGTTTGTCAAAGAGATGAAAAGCTGGTAGTTCTTTCTCTCAGTGATTAAAATATGTTATTTTTTAAAGGCAAAAGGTGTTGTGAATACAGCTGTGTCTGCAGCAGTCCAGGCAGTTCGAGGCAGAGGAAGAGGAACTCTGACGAGGGGAGCTTTCGTTGGGGCTACAGCTGCTCCTGGCTACATAGCTCCAGGTTAGTGCTACCTGTGAGAGACCAACTGTGTGCTGAGCTCAGGTCTGAGGAACAGCACGTCCTTCATTTTTCAAGGGTTCACGGGTTCTCTGGAAATTTAACACAGGTATTAGATGACTGTACACTACTTCAAAAGAGACTATAGAATATCATAGTTTTTTTCCTAAAACCTGCTAAGTACCTAGAGACTTCCTAGAAGGAGATGACAGATAAGCAATATTGTACTTGGTTGGGGGAAAGCATTTTGATGAGGAGAAATCCAAAAGATGCTCCACAGATTCAGGGGTTTGCACATCTGAGCATATTGTGTTCTCTAGGGATATAGAAGTCAGGCTGAATAACAGGAGAGATAAATGATTAGGAAGCTTCTTAATTGGGGTGAAGCTTGGCATTATTAGCATTTGCTAAAAGTACAAAAAGAAGAAAAGAACTTTTTATCCAGAACTTACTGTTTACCATGTATTTTTATACAAATAGTTTCACTTAACCACTTGGTACCAATCCAATTATTTAAATATAGGATGACAAAAAATTGTTTATTTTTAAAAACAAAATATAAAGACTACAGTTTTATCGAATTTATTCAGTATAAGGTTGAAATGACACCTGCCTGAGGGCTGTTTGGCATATCAGTATGCAACCAGACATGCTGCCCGAATGATGCCCCATGGGGCTTGAGGGAGACCAGGAAAGCTGCCTTCTCTCTGCTTTCTGTTTAACCCATGTATTATTTTAGACAAGGCTGTACACCTATCTTGTTAAAATGAAGTTTTTGTAGTATTGAAACTGTGGAACTATTTCCTTACAAGGAATCCATTTGTAGTTGATCAAGATGAAATTCTAAAGATTGTGGTTTATACAGTCATGATTTTTAAGGTAACATCCCTTAGAGTTCCATTAGATTGTGTTTTCTTTCAAGAATTAGAGTAGGTCATTTGAGAAGTTTTGTGAATAATGTGGCTTTGGAATTATACCATTAAAAGTTAAGCCCAGGTATATCTCTTAAAAGTGTGTTTTAAAAAGACTGTGCCTACTTTGTCACATACCAGGATTTTGCTCTCATGCAACATCTGTTGTGAAGGGTGAAGCATGTTAATCAAGTAATAACTGTTATAATCTGAGGTGATTCTGAGGGTGGAGGAGGACATCATGCTGTGAGAGTATGTGGCAGAGGACCCTGCTGTAGTCTAGTGGGAAAATTGGAGGAGTAAGTGTTAACTCAGAAAAGACTAGGGTGGGACAGTGTTGCACTTGTTAAACTCCATTTGCTGTGGCAGTGTTGGTAGGGAGCTTGGCTCATTTGAAGAAGGTCTAAATGTGTGGAGGGAGACACCAAGGAGTAGTGATAGGAATTAACCACTTACCAGTCCAATTATTTAAGTAGAAAATGACCAAAAATTACATTTTTTTGCTTAATTTTTACAAGGTAATATAATAGGAAATTTGAAAATGACAGTATAATCAAATTTATTCAGTATCAGAATCAACTGGTTGAAATGACACCTGCCTGTGTGATGCTTGGAATAGTCCGTATGCAAACAGAAGATGCTGCCTAGTGATGCTCGGGGGAGGTGTTTGGTGATTAAAGTGAGTAGCTCAGATTGGATTTGGAGATAGTGGCTTGGATTGTGTGATATTCGAATCCTAAATACAGTAGGAAGTCATGAAGCAGAGAAGGACAAGATCAGCTTGATTCTGTATTATGAAGAGTAGATGCAGGGCCAAGGATCAGCATGAGAAGACCTGTTAGAAGGCTGTTGTAGATGAATCACCAGGCGCTGGACCCAGGAAGCCAGGGGATGTAGAGGACTAACTGAGCGGCAATATGTGAAGAGACTGAAGAAATAGATAAAGAGCAAAATTGATAGATGGAATGTATAGAATGTAAAAGAGTAAGGTTTCAAGTATCGCCGATGAGCTGACTGGGATGATTATGCTATTGAATTAGCTAGAAAAATAAAAGGTAAGCATTAAAGGGAAAAAGCATATGAGTTTCTTAGCAGATTCTTCTGTGCATCTCTCTTTCTTTGCTGAAGTTTAATATTTTTAGCCTCATTTATTGCATTATGGAAAGAGCAAAGCTTCCATGAACAATCATGGGCAAGTTACCGTGATGAACCTTTCCCTTGGTTGTGTATGCTATTGCATGATCTTGGGCTGTGCCTCCTGCTGGAGGATTGGACAGCTGTGGTTGACTATGGTAGTCACTGCAGGAATTATTCGTGTCTGCTGGGTGCCAGGCTCTTCTGTACAGTAGTGGTTTCTCTCTCATGTCATTGCTTTGACCTCTCTGCAAGGTCTGTCTCCTGATGCTTTTGAAAAGAATGTTCTTTAATGGCCTAGAAAAGATTCAGGTTAGGTCAGTTTAGATTATGAACAGGTAATGTGCCATGTGTCCTTGTACAACAAGGAGTGTCATAGATGTCTTTATACCTAAAGTCCTTTGCCAACTGTTACTTACTTGCACGTGACACTGAGGCTCCGAGAGGTTAAATAATAGGTATAGTTCAAAGACGCCTGGCCAGTAAAAAAATGTTAGAATCCTGGGGGCCTGATTAGTGACCAGTTTAGCAGTTACAGTATTATCTCTCTTTAAGGAGATTTTGTTAAAACTTTGAAACTGTAGCTGAAATAAAACAACTCCTATTTCCTGAAATAGATTTGATATACAACTTTCCCTCCTTCCCTCCCTCTCTCTTTCTCTCTCTTCCTTCCCTTCCTTTTTTTCCTTCCCTCCCTCCCTTCCAGCCTTGTGCTTGCAAGGCAGGCGGCAGAACCACTGAGCTAAATCCCCGGCCCTACAATCTTCTTTTTAAAGCATTAATTTTTCTTTTTGCTGAGTTGTACTACTCCAAGTTGTATATGATTTTAAGTATAGACTAAAAAGCAAAAAACTGTCATCAGTCCGGAAATGTTTTGATTTGGTGCCTAAAAGCATTTTGCATTTCTTTAGCATACATTTGAATGTTTTGTCTCACATAGGAGATTGAGAACTGGGCATGCAAAGTTGCTTGAGGCCTATCCTGCAACCCAGTGAACACTCAGGGTCATGTGGGGTGGGAAGGGATCCTTGAATCAGCACAGTGCAATGCGATGCAGGCTGTAACATGAAGAGCGCATGGAGTAGACAGTAAGCTTGGGAACCTTCCCGGGGGAGAGGGTATTTGATCCTGATCTTGGGAATGAGTTGCAATTGGTCATCCAGAGGAGGCAAGGAAAGTCATTCTGAGTAGCAGAAATGGTTCTAGGCAAAGGATTGTAATGAAACAAAGCTTTTTTGTTTTAGATGAAGATTTGTGTAGGGCTTATGTAGTTGTTGTGTCCTTCTTATATTTTAGAAATAACTTCTAGAAATTTAGTCAAGTGATTTTATATTTGCATATTTTTAGGTTTTTCTTAAAAAAAATGGCAGTTTCTATGATACTCTCATCTCTACAGTAGTGTAACTTAGCTTGCTTGGGATGTTTCCCTTATTAAAAACAAGAAAACCACAACTCAGATATTACATGTGCAAATAAGGACATATAAGAAATTGGCATCACAACTAATCGGCTCAAAAACATCTGAGTCTTATACTAGTTTCTACTAATAATATGAGTGTTTCTCATGGGCACCGGGTGCCAGTGTCAAGTTTAGTAACATTTACTGGGAGACTGTGTGCTGGGCCAGGCACTCAGGGGTCAGCTCATCATAGACCTCACCCTTGGGTTCATAGGACCTCTTAAACGGTATTTGAAGCCTTGGCCTATTATTTTGCTACTTTCTGAATTGAGATGTGGAAAGTTCTGTTTTCCAACGTTAAGAAATGGTAATTTGAGTGGTTTGGTGTATCTTTTTGCTCAACAAATGATGTGTACGTTGTGAGGTTCAGATAGTGCAAAAAGGAATAAGATAGGTCTCTGCCAGTCTTGTGGTGAATACAGACAAGAAGTCTCAGAATGTAGTATAGAAATGCTGTGAGAGAGAGTTAGGGTATTGTGGTGGTACATCAAGGAGAACCTCATGGGCTTTGGTGAGAGGCTTCTGCATCTAAGAAGGTACCAAGAGCCACCATGCTAGGAGACTACTCTGGAACGTTTCTTAGCCATTTGACCTCAGGAGGAGTTCTCTAGTCCCAGGGTGCCAGGCCAGGTGGTGCTTTTGAAGTGGGCCACTGCCATTTGTCCTTAGTCTTGGACTGATCTGCTTTTTTTTCTTTGCACTAGGCTATGGAACACCATATGGTTACAGCACAGCTGCCCCTGCCTATGGTATGTACACCATCTTACTGATTTCTCCTCTTAGTGAATCTGTCACAGCAATCCAAAGCACATTTGTATCCAGGGTTTCAGTAAATGAATCGGAGGACCTCAGACCTAATCATTCTAGTGACCCAACTTAAATTCCCTTTGAAAAATGCCACAACCTTGTGGTTCTTGGTTTGGTTGGAGTTGCTCTTTTCTCTGCTTTTGCCTGACTGGAGGACTGCTTGTTCTAATTGCCTGTTTCTGACCATATTGAAATTAAATATTTTAAGTAATTCTTACAGCCAACTTACACTCCATTCAAAGGCTACTGAAGGGCCATACTCATTTTCTAGCTTTACTGTCTGCCAGTTATATAGCTACATTTAAGTTTCTGGTTTAGAATTGTGTAAACTGTAGGTAATTTCAGGGCTTCACTAACAGCGTTCCTTGAGTTCCTTATGCAAGTCAGTAATTTTTGCTAGAAAGTCATAGGCCTGTCTCTTCTCCCCTAAAGATAAAAAATAAGACCAAATACATAAATGAATCCCCATGGCCCTTTGGATAACTTTTGAATGAGGTTTATGTGGCAATGGAGGCAGTAGGTTTGGAGTCAGTGATATGCTCTTAAGACATTTTTCCTAACTCAGGTGCTACATGTTCTAGAATCAGCCATTTGCAGGATGTTTGAGAGAGAGAGAGAGAGCGAGCGAGAGAGAGAGAGAGCGCGCGCGTGCAAGTGAAGGAGAGAAAGGGGCAGGATGAATGAGAATGAATATATGTGTATGTAGTTATGAGTGCATGTAGTATGCACATGGAAAGTGTGGATGGCTCAGCATGGCCCAGGCTGGGTGTGCATAGTCACAGAAAGCAAAGGCCCTTCACATATTGCTGTTTGTGGCATGAATCCTCTACATGAGCCTCAGACCTTCATATTGTGCCTTTTCTCTTCACACTTCAGCTTTGCCATTTTTGTTTGGATGAAAATTATGAGCCTTTAAGAGATTGCTAAACCGAATTTGATTTCCTAATTGCAAAAATAAGTAGAAATGAATAGTATGCCCGTTAAGGTAGACAGTTAATGTACTGAATAGATGTAAAAGTGGCAAGAGTCACACGTTTGGAGTGAGTTTTCTTTGGGTAAAGCACAAGGCCTGGACTTTGAGCCTTCCCTATTGTCTCCTCTGGCACATTCAGGAGTGGCCAAAGCTTCCTGTGTTCTGAGCTGGAGCCATACAGGGCAGGTGGGAATTAGGGGCTCTTTTCAAGTGTTGTATGTTTTCACCCAGATTTCCTTCTGACTCACATGCTCTAGTTCCTTTTGGTTTTGGACATTGGCATTTGCCCCTCAGCTAGACTGTGAACATCCTGACCACCTCTTCCTTCCTGAACTAGGTCAGGCCAGGTAATCCAGATACAGTCTTGGTGACACACTAGTTCCTACTGTATCTGGTGTGAGTGCCAGAAAAATCTGCCTCCTAGGGCAGATGTTTTAGTCTTTCAGTCATACAGTAAGTCTAGATTCTTTAGTAAAGGTTTGCTAGCACTTACCTTGTTCCTTTAAAACATTTTCTATCTAGGCGCTAGGTTACATCCATGTTTTCTTCAGTCTTGTTAATTTTTCACTCTTGGTCCTCCCTTTTCTCCTTTAACATTATACTTTCACCCTCTGGCCTCTGAGCCTCAGTTCAGAAGGCTCCTCTCTTCCATTTACCATATAACTGACTTCCAAAGCTGGTGAAATTTGATGCCCCCATTTTTCACATAAAAGATTTGGTTTTTAAATGTTACTGTGATGCAAACCTACTAAAACAATGCTTTATTTTGGCTGTAAGGTAAATATGTCTTTTGGCCTTTGTAAAGCTGTTGCATGTGGGGTAACTTCCCTCTGATCATCTGGTGCTCCTGAATACCTGCTGTTGCTGCTTTGTGATTTCTCCATACATTAAATATTAGATAGGAATAGGAGCAGATTTCAAATCCTGCCTGAGTATGCAGAAGTTTGTGAGGCCACAAGAACGTATTAATTACAAAATTAAGAAAGTAATTAATCTTTCCAGATTTGCCATGCCAATACTGGCAGTAGCCTTTAAGAAGATAAACGCCTGGTCACAGCTATGGAGCTGTCTTCCGGGGAGCTGAGGCCCGCACAAAAAACTGTGCTGTGCATCTTGACAATCCCTGTTTCTCCTTTAATATGTGATATGCCAAACTGAGAACCAATACGGGTTTGTAGAATCACTTCAGAGTATTAATAGTATTACTTTTGATCTTTAGAATATAATTATGGCAGTTCACTCAGTTGTCATTTCTGAATATCATTCTTCCTATGAAGTAACCATCTTGCTTTTAAATAGAAAATATTATTTACCACCATAGAAGAGCAATTTCAAAACAGGAGATCTGTGAGCGATTTGTGGGCCTCTTTCAAAATGGTACATGTTGACTGACTAATCTGGAAAAGGTTAATGATACCTAATGTAAGATATTTTTTAATCTGAAATTTTTATTGGCATATTAAACTTATTTGGAGTCCTCTCCGTTTCTTTTCTCTGTAGGTTTGCCCAAGAGAATGGTTCTGTTACCCGTTATGAAATTCCCAACATATCCTGTTCCCCACTACTCATTCTTTTAGCAAATGACAGAAGCTCATTCCTATTGAACAACAGTACAGTACAATACAGAATGTTAGAGAAAAGCCTTTTTATCCTGCTTTCTTTGAACACATACTTGATCAAAATTATTTGTAAAGAACATCTTTCCTACTTTTTGATTTTAACAAATGCAAATTTAGTTCTCTAAAACTTGAAAACAGACACACACAAAAAAAGGAAACCAGTTCTGTGAAACGGTACCTCATTTCTGGAAAATAATTTATACCAGCCCTTATGTTCTAGGGAAATAAAAGTCTAAGTTCAAAGTTAGAACATCTTTCCTACTTTTTGATTTTAACAAATGCAAATTTAGTTCTCTAAAACTTGAAAACAGACACACACAAAAAAAGGAAACCAGTTCTGTGAAACGGTACCTCATTTCTGGAAAATAATTTATACCAGCCCTTATGTTCTAGGGAAATAAAAGTCTAGCAGTTCAAAGTTTTAAGTTTTAAGAGTATCAGATTATGTAAAATTAAATTTGTGAAGGATGTACAGAGTCTCAAACACTGATCACAAATAAACGGCTTTGTTGTAACGCAGAGTGCCGCCTGGTTCCTACTGCAGACACTGGTTCTCAGCTGTTGGAGATGTGCTTGCCCCAGGGCACTTTAATTTGGGCTGTAGTTATTTTTTTTTAATACAATAGAGACTTTTCATTTAAACTTTAACTTTGTAAATACTGAAGTGTGTAATTAAAGCCAATAAAATATGGGTTTGAATATTGTTTTAGCTTATTATTTTTGATATGTTTTGGTATTAGATTACAAGGAATTGCAAACTAATAATAACTTAGCCCTATAAGCCCATTCATCTGTAAGCAAATCTACTAGAACAGAGCAAGGAGATTGTTAGTTTGAGCCAGGCTATGTACTTTGTAAGCCCTTTGTACTCTGGTTGTACAAGGGTGCCCCCACTATAAAGGTTACATTCTGTTACCCCAGCATTGCTTATTAAAATGATGGCATTACCCAGAGATGGGGAAGGAGGAATGTGATATTTTAGTTTACGAATCTCCAAGTTTTAAAAAATAAATTAACGAATCAATCACCTTCTTTTGTTCTTGTGGCCTTCTTCACTCTGTAAGATTTTGTGTTCACTCCCTGGCCTTTTCATGCAGATAGAAGGTTAGGGACTTTTCTGGGATTCGTTGAAGGGTCTCCTTTCCTCTTCAATTACATCAGAATCTAAAGCAGCAACAGGGTCCCCATAAAAACTTGCTCTTCGATTGTCCCAGTTCTTGTTGAGTGCTGCTGTGGAAAGTGACAGGTTTCAGCCATGGGTCAGCATTTGTTTTTAAGACTCCTGATTCCGCTGGTGGAAATCGATCAGTCGGTAACATTGTGCTATTTTGTGATGGGTGCAGACTGAAGTCTCCACTCGCATTCTCACCTTGTTTGGAAAGCCGATGATGTTACAAGAAGGTAATGGTTTCATTAAGGTATTCACCCCCATAAAGGCAGTGGCATGGTCCCCTGTCCATATTGACAAGTTGCTGTGGCTTGAAAAAATGTCTGTTTTTAGTTGGAATTAGCTTTTTTCTGCTGTATTAAATTCTGCTTTTCCAAACTACATAGTGCCCATTGTGAAAGTGGGCTTCACAAAATAAGGCAAATTTATATGCCAGGTATCTTTAGGACCTCTAAATAAGGTTGCTTTGGGCAGTGTACCACAAATGTTAGTGTCATTTCTCAGATGTATATTACATAATGATTTGTTTCTTCTCCTTGACCTATTCTTACTGGTGGGTGATACTTTAATAAAACCTCATCACTTGCTGGAAGTAGCTGTAACTTATCATTGTCATCCTGTGCATTAGCAGCTAGACATAAACAACAAGGGCCCATTTCAGCTGGGGGTTTTCATGTTTCATTGATTCGTTTTGCTGACCTATGGATGAAACAGAGCCATCACTGAGAAGAAAAAGCATGGCTGGTAGTGTCCACTTTTTATTAATTAAATATTTGCAATAGTGATTTGTTTTTGGAATACTATTAATTGGCAGCTGCAGTTGTTACTGTGACTTGAAATTGATGGTCAAATTTGGATTCCAAGTTGGAATCTCCCTGGAGATTTCTCTTCAGCAAATTCTTTTAAAGAAGCTGACTCTGCTTCATAACCCCTCTCCGATGGAGAAAAGGGAGCTGTGCTGTTTTCCAACATGATGGCAGTCATTTCAAATGGTTTCTACCAAGTCTTTTTTTTTTTTAAATTTAATTTTGTTGTTTGTTGGAAGTTACTAACCATGTTGTAAACCTGCCCAGTTGCTGCAAACTTTTACATTTCTCTGCTTTACTTAAAATAATTGACCTGTCAGTCCTTTGTTAGAAGTGGTAACCATGCAAGTTCAACTGTTTAAATTTTGTAATGAATTAAGTGTCCCCCCACCTTTTGCCCTTCCCACCCCTCCATTTTGTAATGAAAATTCCACTTACAGCTGAAAGAGCAGAGAAATATAAATGAAGCTCTTGGCTTCACCAAATTGTATGAGATTAACATGAAGTTTTGCTTCTCTGCTCTTTTCTCTGCTGTAGGTGGTTTTTTCATTGACAGCCCCTATTGCCAGCCTCTGAGCGTCGCACCATTTATTATTCACTTGGGCCCTCAAGATTTCTTCTCTGACTTCTAGAACCATCAGGTTGTCTGGCTTGAAATGGCAATTTCTATGTCTTAGTCTTAAGAGCAATGTGACACCCTGAGGCTTTCCAGCTTTCAGACACACCACTCTGACACCTTCTCTTTGAAAGCACTGACTGAGCATTTTAAAGAAGAGCAATACTTTGTCCAAAGCCACGGTGTCCGTTTTAAAACTTTTTCTTTTGGAAACCTAGCAATATCTGTACTTAACCCCTTTAGTGTAGCTCTTGTCAGGGAGTTTACAGACCAATGTAGAGCTTAGAATTTGCGTGCAAACTGTGCTATCTTCTGACACTTTTTAAACTTTTTTAGCACATAAATTGAATAGTTACATTTCTGACTGCGTCAGCTAGCACTATTATAATTTCACTGAGTTAGGGGTCCTCCTTGAAGCCATATCTTTTGGTGGGGGCTGGCACCTCGCCAGGGATGTGGCTGGCAGCCTGTGTCTCTCCAGGCTGCCCCAGTGCCCCATCCCCTGCACCAGGTGATGATGGTCCCATAGGTCTCTCTCCAACATACCTCATGTTGACGAGGTAGAGCGCACTGTAGGCGAAGCAAGGAGTCGGGTTTGTGTAGTTGCCGAAACTGTTTATAATCTCTTGAATTGTTAACCTGGGAACAAACCACTGGCCAATTTTGCTGGTGTTAGCTTTTTCTTTTCTTCTTTTTAAAAAATTTGGGTGAATGTTTGAAAATCATGAATCAGTCACCGTTATTTAATTGAAGCGCTGGGAATACCTCGTTAATGTATTTTTTAAAACTGGTATTGGACCCTCTGTGTATTTCAGGTTAATACTTTTAAGCAGTTTTCAGCACGTTTATCTCACTTTATTCTCGTTCTCCTCGGACCTTCGTAGCCATATCACTTGTATAAAATAGGCTGAGATATAGTGACTGTAAGCTGTGATCTCAGTATACAAAGGTAAGCTCTTTTATTTTCTGATTAAAGAGAAAAATAAGCAATTAACACAACTTGGATATATGACAATCATATGATGTATTTGATGTCTTAGGTCTTATGTCATCACATTACCTTGAAAAATTTTATGATCTAAATGTAAAATAGTTATTTTAAACATTTGTTTTATTACCCTTGTAAATGTTTTTTATTCAAGAGAGATATTTCACATTCAGTAAGTTAAAATTTGTGTATGTGTGTAGAAACTGAGGCTGTAACATGTATATAAATCACACATACAGGTACTTGTTTAAATTTAGAACTAAGTAGTAGGAACAGTTCACCTAAGATGTGTGTAATGGCAGGGCATGCTTCTGTCCAAAGCACTGGAATTTCAGAAGCAGCAGGATTGGAGACAGTGCTGGTGTGATCCGTAAATGTAGCTCTTACATAAGCTGAGGATCAAAGTGCCAATTTCTCAAGGAGAGAAGCTTCTCTGAGAAATAAAATCTCTGATTTGTGTTGTATACGCCAATACAACAGCAAGAAGCCATAAAAAAAAAGCAATAGAAAATGAAAAAAAACAAACTAGGTAACTATGGGAAAAAATATAATTGACAGTTAAGCTACTTATTTGCAGAATTGACTTTAGTTAGACTCAGAAAGGTGAATACCAAGTCTGCAGAGACCAAATAGACTTAAGGTAGTTTGTCTCTTTTCCAGGTTAAGTAGCTAGAATATTTATTTCCCACCATATTCAACCATCATGGAGTTTATTTCAAAGATGTGAGGATTAGACCAAATATTTCAATCAAGACTTGGCTTCGTTTAGTGTGTCTCACAAATACATTTCATTATGTATTAGATGTTCTGTGCAAAGGCTGTATTTGGTACACAAACACACACACACACTAAAATGGATTTCATATTTTGTATTTGATTCTAAGTGGCAGTTTCTCTTTATTACTAACTTAAAGGTTGCTGGAACAACTTTCTCCCCCCATATAGAATCTGGGTGTACATTTCACAAGGCTTTGGCATCTGTGAAGTGTTGTACAAGACAGAGCTGACTAGTTCCAAGTGCAATCCAGTCCTGTGCAAGAGCCCAGTGCCTGCTGTGTGCCAGGTCCTTCTATAGGTCCAGTGGAAGCATTTTAAGTCCAAGAGTCTCTTTGGGGGGTGGAATTGGCCCTACTATAAATATCCTACTTTGAGAGACAAACAGTATATTAACAGTGGCAAGAGAATATTACTTAATAGTTTAATTATAAACTGTTGAATAATGTAGGCTCTATGACATGACTGTAACATGTAACACCTGGAAATTCATTCATTTAACATATTTCTGGTCCTTTTGTTTGTGAACCTCTTTCCAAGTATGTGAACTGTGAAATGAATGACAAATACCCTAGTCTTTTTAAGGCAGTTTTTATAGTGTGGCACAGAGCAGTGTTGTTAACTTTCGACCCAGAGCACAAGTTGTGTTTCTTTATTTAAATGACAGTGGAGGAGTTTTACCATTGCAATCAATCATTCTCTGTAATTTCCCCGTTTCTTAGATTTCATCAGTAATTGTACTGCTCAGTACTAATACCAAGTAGAGGAGTGAGTTACCTATAAGAGCTAAGGATATTCCCCCCGCTCCAGGCAGTTAGATTTGTAGTAATTAAGCGCCTTAAAAGAGCAGTGAAAGGAAAAAACAGCCTGCTCTTGATTGGCCTCCCTGTAATTCCTATCCTTCCCATGCCAGTGCCTTCTGAGGGCAGTGGGGGCATCTCTGAAGTCACTCAGAACAAGAAAGGTGCCATGGGCTTCTCTGTCTGGTAGTGGGCCATCGAGTGGCCACAGGTTCCTCAGTGTTAGTAGGCAGCCTGGAAGGGAGAAGGTGGCAAGTGAATAACAACAGCAGAGCTGAGAAACTGCTGCCGAGGTGAGTTTTAACACCTGTGTGTATCTTGCTAGCACTTACGGAGCACAGCATTTCTTATATAAGGGCCCGTCTTTTTCTAACGGCATCTTCCAGAAAGACTTTAAGTCAAGAATTCAGGTTGAATTAGTTGTAAGAATAGATATCCCTCCTACATTATCATTTCAGTTAGGAGCCAACAGCTTCCATTGATGTTTGAAGCAGTGATCTTTGGAGGTTTTAAAAATAGTACCGTAATGCAAATTGGGTTATGTAAGCTTTACAGCACAGATAGAAATAGGAAATAGAAACCATGTGGAAATCTGGGCCAGAGTATTTCACTCCACCATATTCCCAAGGGGCTTGGAGATCCAATGATTGAAACCCAGAAAGTGCTTTGAAGGGTACCTGGTACACAGCAAGTACTTGGTGTGACGGGAGGCAAGGCTTTGCCAACAGGTGGCTAAAAAGCAGGTACTTCGCTTTCTTAGGGCGAAGCTGTTTGTCCCTTTATGCTGACTGGTTTGGGCTGCTCCCAGGCTTAGGGAGAGGATTCCGAGCTCCAGGGACAACAGGAAACACTGATGCCCGCAATTCTGCTGTGATAGTTCAATCAATCAATCACCAGCCATTCTCTGCCCAGGGCTTGTAAATACTTAAGTTTGGGATTTAAAGGTGCTCAGAATTTCATAAGAGCTGAACTTAGATTGTCTGTCAACCTGCTGATTCCAAGTTTCTTGCCAGTGCATTAATAATAAAAGCTGGTGTTTGATTACGGCCACTGCCAGAATCCAACCTTCAAGGCTCACAGAGACTGGTGGGTGGAGAGCAAGTTATTATTATAAACTGCAGAAGGGAGTGGATGGCCCTGGGTGGTACACCTAGAAAGCTGTGAACTCAGATCCTTCTAAGGATCCTACAGCTTGTCTTTTTGTTTGTACTGACACTGAGAGGAAAATGTACACACATCACCATATATGACCACCCTTCTTAGGAAAAACATTATCAAACTATTCGTGTCTGTCCATCTTTCCGTTTATCTACCTGTCCTAGATACACTTGGGAGGTCCTGTTCGACAAGAGGGAAAATAGGTAGATGGTGACATTGCTGCTATTGGACTGAATATTCCTGGTTTGAATAGATTTGCAATAGTTCAGCAGCCTCTGTGTCCCAGGCTGTTGGCAGGAGGTGAGCTAAGTGGGCAGTACAGATTGAGCTTCGACATGTTGTAAGTTTGTAAAAACCCTGTGAAGAAATAACAAATGTAACCTTTAAGGTGCCCAGTAAGATAGGTTTGCCTGTAGTCCAAAGGTGTATTCATAAATCCAAGCGATAATTGTGTATAACTAGTGTCCTCACAAAGTTACTACATTTATTCCTTCTCATCTGAAGCTGTTGATAAAATCATTGCCTCATTCAGCCAACAATGAAGCCCTCCCTTACCAATTAGTTATTTTTATTTATTTGTTTGTTTAGTACCGGGAATCAAACTTGGGTCCTTGCGCTTGCCAGGCAGACGGTGGAACTATTGAGCTAAATCCCCAGCCCTACCAATTAGTTATTACCACCTTAATTTCTTATTCCAAGGAGGGCTGTAGTCTCTTTCTGTAGAAATTTGCTGTTAGTGCAAATGACCTGGGCTGCCCCTGCTGGCCTATAGGGTGGAAATTGCCATCAGTGGCCCAGGCTGCAGCAGCAGCTCTGTGGAACCATCTTTTTCTGCTGCTGGATGGCCAGCAGGGGAGGGTGGCATTGGTGTGGCTACTGTGAAGACATTGTCTCAGCACTGCCAAGGTACCCGCTGTCCCTCTGCATTGTCTAGGCTCTCCTGTCTTGATCCTGTTGTATTATAGTGTGGACAGAGGGGCTCTGCCTTCAAGTGTCAACTGACTGCCCCACAGATCCAATTATGGCAGCTGGTTCTTTAGGTCATTTGAGCTATAGACAGCAGATTGAAGAAGCAGGAATGGGAGAGAAGAGGGAAAGTTGCTAGAATTGGCAGCTTGTGTGTGTCAGGTACCTGGACAGTCTTCTTAATTCTCAAACAGCCTTCTTGGAGGTGGTATTATTCCTCTTTTACAGATGAAAAGCCTGATACTCCAAGTGACATGCTAGAGCCAGGAAAGAAACCCAGCTCCGTTTAATGCCAAAGCCTTTCTGTTGCACCACGCTGCAGGTCACAAGGCTGGCTGTGGAGGCTGTGCTAGAACCTGGGTCTCTGACTTAAGAGTACCGCAGACCAGATATCCTGACCTAAAACAGGGAGTGTTTTTAGGCCAGTTGTGAAAGGCTATCTAACAAACTGGAAAGACGAACTGAAAGCAGAGAGGGACTGTATAAACAGAGAGCTTTTGGTGCTTAAAGCTTGTTTTTCTGTTTGATTGGCAACATGAAGCCGAGGTACATGTCACCAGCTTGTGTTTCTGGGTGAATGCTCAGCCCGGTTGATAAGGGCGATGGCGATGTCTTCAAAGACGTGAACCCAACTCTGAAGGGAGGCATGTGAGGCCACGACCCAGGGGGAATATGGAAGGGCAGCAGCCCAGGCTTGAGGTACAGGGATAGGGGCTGTCCCTGGGCAGGTATGAAGAGAGACTGAGACAATGGCAGATGTGAGTCCTGTTCTCCATGTCAGGGGTTGGCTTATGATGGGCTGAAGGCAGGCTGCCAGCCTGGAGCATGTACCTTCCCTCATGTGGGGCCTGTGCTTGGCAAGGCTGGCTTGGAGAGCTCTGGGGACTCTGCAGATCACATCCCAGCTCCTTTGCTGATTGAGATCAACTGGGTCTCTGCTTAGGGGCAGGTGGGTGTGGGGATGGACAAAGAATCCTTTTCAGAGAAAGGTATTTATTCCTCACCCAACCTAAATCATCATCTTTTGACAGTTTGACAATTTTTCTGAGCAACGCTGCTGCCCTTAAGGGGAAGAGAAAAAAGGAAGCTTCTCTAAGCCAGGTTCTAGAGCACTGAGGTGTGAGATTCTATCTCTGGCCTAGATAGAACACAGCACCCTGCAGAGCCCTTTCCACACCTGGCCCTACTTCTTGCTCTGCCTGTGAATCATTGCATGGATTGCCAGTCCTGCTCTTTAGACAGAGAAATTGAAGCCTGGAGATCTCTCCAAACCACTCTGCTTGTTTGTGGCAAAACACTGTGGTTTCTAAGTAGTTTTAACCACACAGAGAAAATAACATTTCATATGCCGTTTTGAGGGTTAACAGAAGCCCTTTCTTAGAGATTGTTTTGAATTCTGCAGTTGTGGGTTCTTGAAATGTTTTTCCTTTCATAGATGAGGAAATGAGGCATATCCAGTCACACAGTTCTTGCAGGCAGAGCCCGTGTACTGTGATGACACTGTCTGTGTCCAGCACCAGTGCTGGATATTGCTCATTCTGGAGCAGCTGTCTCCCTCCCTCAGCTGCATGCTGCTCACCTTTCTCCCCAGACTTTGGGGCTGCATCCTACATGACTCAAAACCAACCAAGCAAAAATTGACCTTCTCTGCCAGCAATTAAGGCTCCTTGGGCTGTGTCTTGAGTTTCTTTGGAGGAACAGTTGGTTAGCTTGCTCTAGGACAGGATGACTGACTAGTCAGCCCAGAGCTGGCAGCTGGCTACACATTCAAGTCTTGTTTCCATAGACCATGGGAACAGTTTCATACTCAGACCCTGTGTGTAATAAAGTGCAAATTCTGTAATTGCTGCTTGGAGAGCTATTCAGGGAGAGTGGAGAGGCTGGGGGATGTAATGTGAGAAGTCTGAGTTTTATGGTCAGCCTCCTGTGCACTTTGGTTTTGGCCCATCCTGGCTAGATCTTCAGTATAGGCTTTAGCCAAGGGGTCACTCTCACAGGGGCACATTTTCCAGAGCATTCAGAAGTAGGGCTCTTCTTGGACTCTTCTGTCATATAGAGAGTCTCAGAAGTTGCTTCACTTCCTAAAATGAAATCAGAGAACTAGGATATTGAGGCTAATGAAGGGCAGCCCTGGGACGAACCTGGATACCTGTTAGATGTGTTAAATGATTCTGTTTAGTGTCCACAGTCCCAGAAGGTGAAGACAGAAGCTGGCTGGGTGTTTGGCCCGTGGGTTAGATGGAGTGGCCTTGGGGGAGCAGGGTGGGTGCAAAGTGAGCTCTAGATTGCTGATTGTGTTCAGGGAGTGGTCTGGATGGTCTAGAGGAACTTCTTCCATAGGGTATCTATTTGGATTGATTGGTGATATTGCTGAGACCACTTCTCCCTGTTTGGGCAAATGGATTTATTGAGAAAATATTCACTATTACCTGCTACTTCCTGCCTGGCTCTGTCACAGGCCGAGGAGCAGTTGGAGGAAACCATGAGATTTTCCACTTCAGGAGCTGAGGTGGAGGGCATAGGAAGGAAGAGGGCATTTGAAAAGCATCAGAGTCATCCTCCGTGAGAGAGCCAGTCAGCAGCTCTCTCCTGCTGCCAGGTATGCTGTACCCCAGCCCAGGGCCCTTGGCAGGTCTCCCTGCCCTGCGGAAGAGGAGCCAGGCCTTCGAGATGACGTGCAGAATAGGAAGGGATTAGAGCTGAGTCACTTACATGATCCAGGTGGCCTAGGCTTCCCACTTGGGTGGCACGGAGCTGGGCAGGGGACCTCAGCGGGGAAGGTATTTGTGTACAGAAAGGCTCAGTGCCCTGGGTAACATAAAGTGCTGTCACGGGAACTGGGATGCATAGCATGGTGGGATGGCAGGTAGAGTGCAGGACTCGGGCCATGTTGAAAGGGCCAGGTGCTATGCGCTTTCATGGTTACCATTATCCAACATGGTCAGAGTTGAGAAGGGCAGTTGGGACAGAGCACGATCAGAGAGGACTGATGAGGTCCAAGTGAGAATGAGAGAGGCTGGTGGAGCTGCAGTAGAGATGGAGGCAGGAGCAAGGTCTGCACAAGCCGGGTCCTCTGCTGGGCTAAGCCAGGTACCTAGTAGCACCCAGCCCCAGGCCAGGGAACAACGGTGCCCACTGGAGCAGGAGCCCTGCAGAGCTCTTACACCAGACGTCTGCTCAGTGGTTAGCTGGCGACAGTGCGGCCTCTGACCAAGTCATGGAAGGGAGGATGCTGACGGCACGTGTGGTGTTGGGACACAGCAGGGCCCCTTGCTTAGCTACAAGTGTGTGGCCAGTCAGCCAGCATCTTTATCATTCCCCTCAGTTTCTGGGTGCCTGGGCAGTGACAGGTACTGGTGGTCCTTTATACTGACCTTTTGCTTTAAACATTTTTTAAAAGGGATTTGTTTTGCACAGGGTGTTGCCACATAGTTCTCGCTAGCCTTGAACTCACTGTGTAGCCTAGGTTGGCCTCAAACCGACAGTGATCCTCCTGCCTCAGCCTGCACAATTCTGGGATTAGAGGCGTGTGCCTCCACACCTGGCAATTGTATTCTAACCTGGGCCAAGGCTGGCAGTGAGACCTATTGGATTCAGCATATGTGGAACATGGTCAATAGACCAGTGGGAAGGTACAGGCTTTCTTTAGTTTTGAGGAGGGAAAAGGCTGAAACTGAGATTAGTGAAGGCTTTGCTTTGGGTGTCAGTTTTGTCACTCTGCTCGCCACCTCTGCTTCATCATGGTAGGCAAGGAGATGGAAGACTAGAGGAATCAGGGTGGGTTCTTCCCTTCTTTCCTACCTGCCTCCCTCCCTCCCTCTGGTGCTGAGTGGGTCAGTGAGTGCTCACCTTTATTTTTGAAATGATAGAGCTGACAGAGCTGTGCTAGGCAAGACTGCCACAGAGTGATAACCAGAGTGAAGAGGGGGGTCCTGCACCTCTGTATTTCTACAGCTGTACTTGGTACTAGAACTCAAGGAATGGCTGGGGTTGTGCAGGCTTTGATCAGAGCTTTGGAGAGGTTCAAGGTGTGCTGAGACACTAACTTCAGCCATCTTCGTGAGGCCAGAATTCCAGGCCTAGATGTCTGTGGGCCATGCAGTCAGACACCACCCTCAAGTATTAGGTTGAGGAGATGGACAGGGAGCACTGCCTTAGCCCTGTGTCCACAGGCATCTCCTGGAGAGGAACAGATGCTCAGTAAGCCTCTGCCACGACTATTACCTGTCATTGCAGCACAGAAGCAGTCTCAGACAGTGGAGAAGGTGAATGACACCATGTCCGGTAAGATTTACTTTCAAAAACAGGCCGTATTTTGGCAACCCTTTAAAAATTCCTTAACCTTTTGTCTTACTTGTGACAGGAAAATTCTACCCTCTCCACTGCCTGGACCTGTGAATCTCCGTGGCAGCTGTTGCTCAAAGGGGACTTAGGTTTTGAGACAGGTAGGACATTGAAAGGGAAAAACAGGTGGCTATAGAGCGAAACACAGTGTAGGAAGTGATCCCAACTTCCACTCTTCTTCTGGGTCCCTGAAACAGAGAGAGGCGGGGAAGGTTCCTCTGAAAGGGACAGACTGAGGTGGTGGAGCAGATGGCATCGTGGTGCCAGCATGGGAAGGGCCTTGCCTGCCAGCTGGGCGCACACAGGCTTGGCTCCTAGGATGATGGGAGCCACTGTGTTATGTTGTGCTTGGGGATAAAATTGTCACCAGCACCTTCAGAAATGGCTGTGGTTGTGGGAGACCATGTCTGTAATGACAAATTATGCCTAGGTTTAGGCTGGATTTTGCTGCCAAGGGATAGGAATTCTGGAATCAAGGCTTGGAGTTCTTGGTGCTAGCTAGGATGGGAAAGCAAGTCCTGGGGAGTTGCTGGGTTTTTCTAACCTGCAACTAGAAACTGTAGTGGACCCAACTTTAGAAGGCCCGTGAGTACAGTCCTCGAGGGGACATTTTATTTCATCTGCTTTTGGCCTGGGGTCTCGTATCAGGGTGAAGTGGCAGAGCACTTCCCCCACCTGCCGCTGGGCCCGCGTGAAAGTAGAGGCAGGTGCTCCTTGGTGCAGTACTAACTGCAGGGTCAGGCTTCAGTTGGTGCAGAGGTGGAGCAGGAGACCGATTGGGCTGCCCACTCTCCAGTCTTTCCCTGGGTGGATTGTAATCTCCAGGAACCAGGTGGGGGGTCCGAGAGCAAGTGTCCTTGAGTTGTGCTGTGAGGTGCATGCCTGCTCCGTCCCCAGGAGGGGACTCACCTGGGATCTTGCTCCCAGGCCATCTCTTAGGGACGTGGGTGGCTCCAAGGCCCTGACAGGCAGTGTACTTTCTCATCTCCAAGAAGGAGCACCTTGTACATTTTTCTAGAGGTTTCTGTGTTTGTGGGCAACTCATCTGGCACAGACAGAAAGAAACCGGGCCTGACTTTGGTGAAGAGTGCCATCTGTCTGTGGCTGTGGTCTTTGATCTGGCAGTGAGTCCCGTGCTGTGCCGCCCTAGCCTCACAGGGATGCACCAGGGGTCACTCAGTGCTCGAGCCACACCCAGCACCCGCATGCCAGCCTTCACATAGGCTCTGGGCCACATCTCCCATTTTCCTGCACAGGGAAAAAGATGTTCAGAAAGAAGTTGTTCTTTTGCTTTTAAACACTACCTTAAATATTTCTGCTGCTCTAGGAGTCAGAATTTTTATTATTTGAAAAACAGATGGAGAGTGGGGGATAGGAGATTCAGGTGCTTAGGTAGATTTTCTTTCAGAAATTTCTTTTCCATCTGTATCTTGGTAGTAACACTTCTGGTTTCCAGCTCTTTCCCCTCTTCTGGGTGGCCCATGTTTTCCTCGCTTCTAGGTGGAGTGCTGCTCCTACTGACTTGGGAATAAGCTCCTGCTGCGCACAAATACCTAGGCATAAGGAGTTTGATTTGGTCGGGTGACAGGTCACATTGGTCTCCTTAACACACTCATGCTGTTTCTCAAGCTTCCTTGGAACCCACATCAACCACTGGCTTCCCTAGGCTGTAGCCTTTGATCACCCAGGTAGCAATGGCAGCTGATGTGTGAGTTTGTATCTCACCTGTCTCGTTCCCTCCCCTCATCATCTTTCTTATGCAGTTGGGTTAAATAGGCTTTTTCCCTAACCAGTGGGACTTGCCGTGCTTGTGTGGGAGACGTTTAGGTAGGCCCCCTTTTCTGAGAGGTGGCTCATCTGTGTCTTTAGGGCCTATGCATGTGTCTCGCTCTCCTTGTCTCCCAAGAATCTAGGGTGACTGGCTGGTGAGCTGTGTATTCTTCCCTCCACACACCCAGGGCCCAAGCAGGCAGTGAATGCTTAGTCCAGGTGGGAACCTCTTGCTGTTGGCCCATCTTCAGCAGACCTAACTCTTGGCCCTAGCAGTGTTTATCCTATTTTTCCCATGGGATCCATCTGTCTGGCCAGCTCTGCTGACCTTTGGCTTTAGTGGCCGTCAGAGCCCTGGCACTTAGAAGCCAGGTGTCCCAGGGTGATTGCGACAAGGATGAGCACTCTTAGGAACAGGCTGAGGGCAGGCGGTGTGGGGAAGGGGCCAACCTCACATGGGGCCCCTGGCCTCACACCGTGGGCTGTCCTGTCCTGTGTATGTAGTGTTCTTGGAGGGCTAGCCATTGTAGATCCAAAGCCCTGGCTTGTCCCTACCAGGAGCAAGGTGGCCTTGCTCAGGCTGCGCCCTTCCTCAGCCCAGGGTGGGGCAAAGGGGGCAGAGGAAGGCTGAGTACAGTCGTGGGTAAAAACCTTTCCCTACTGCACGGTTCCACACATGACATTGGACTCCTGGCTGTAGCTCTGGTCTAGTGATGCCACTAGTTTTTAGAATCTATTTAAAAAATCTGTACCTATTGTGTTTTCCTGAATAACCAAGTGTAAATAGTATAATTTGCAGTGCTAAGTCCTTGGCAATAACTTTTTGTTATGTATTATGTTAAAAACATTGGAAATCACAATACCCATGGATGACCCTGCCCCCGTGGGCAGCAGTTACATGTAGGACTCTGGTTTAAAAGCGTCAGCGTGGTGGAAGCAGCAGCCTGCATGTGTGGACTGTCAGCAGTGCCTCGCCCAGACAAGATGCCTGGCCTTCATCCAAAGGGACCCTGCTGCCCGGCTCCCGCTGGCAGTCCCCACACTGAGCACGCTGGACTCTGCCATGGACTGACCCTCTTGTCTGGCTGCTGCAGTGTGTCTATAATGCCTTGACATGTTGCATTTTCTCTTATCTGGATGAATCAAAATAAATGCTTCCATGTTGAACAGCAGTGGCTGAAGTATTCTTTGCAGGACTCGTGCTGGAGAAATAAAGGCACTGGCTGTGGTGAGCAGTTCGAGGGCAGCCCTCCTCTGCTGGCCCGAGACCAGCTCTGTACACCACAGCACTTTATTTCATACCAGGGATGGCCAGGGGCTTGGGCCGTGGGGTCTGAGTCCTTAAAATGTGCTTCTGTGTGAACAGCAAAGTTTAGTCCATGTGAAGCTCCAAGCGGGCGGCCTGGCTCAGTGAGCAGAAGTCATGTGTATTCCCCTGAATACCCACAGTATAGGCCCAGGGATTGGCAAGACTCAAGCACCGCAGGGTCAAAGGGACTCTACCCGCAGCGGTGGCACGCTGCGACTTGACTCCAAAGCTGCGCTCTTCGAGCTCCTGCGGCCCTGCCCACCGGGTTCCTGCTGCTGAGCTGACCCCGTGAGGAGACCCCGGACCACGGCAGAACAGGACAAAGGTGACACAGTGGCCAGGAGGGTGGGGTGGTGTGGCAGGGAGCTGGGTTGGGGGATGCTGCCACTGCCTGCAGATAAGCAGGGAGCTGTGGGTGAATGGCACTGGTTGGCTGTTTCACTTCGCAGGTAGAGCCCATTTCCTGTACGTACAGCTGCACAGCACTGACGGGGGAGCTGGCCTGGCCACTTCTTCAGGATTGGCACGGCGTGGCCATGGGATTCTGTTTTTGAGGGAGAACGAGTGAAGTGGGAAGGAGGGATCCTTGTTTTTCTTGCTGTTGAATTCTGGCCTTCCACCTCCTCTATCAATTCTGGGCATAATAGCAAGTCACAGCTCACAGGGGAGGCACAAGAGTCAAAAGCTCCCCAGTAGCTCAGCAACCCCTATGAGATAGGCATGGGGTTCCCCTCGAAGATAGGGACAATGACCCGGAAAGGCTGAGATGTGCATTCAAGGTTGTGGCCGGTCTTGACTCGGAGTTTCCAGGTAGATGCGGAATGTGAAGAGCTGTGCCCATTTATACTCCACCTGCTGCCCGTGCGGTCATGTCAGGGCAGCTGCCCTCCTAGTTGCTGTGTGGCTCTGGCCAGGGCCTGTTCTATGAGCTATTTCCTCACTCAAAGATGAGAGGAGGGTGATCTCAGTGCTCCGCCTTTTCTTTGAGCACCTTGTCATTGAGTGGTTCTCACCTGTGTGGGGCCGCTCCATCTCGGCCTGGCCCCCAGGTGAATCTTCGCAGAGGACTCAAATCCCAACAGCAGCAGCAGCCACAACCTCTGAGTGGTGAAGCAGCTCTCAAGCCAGTGGGGCCCTTGTCATCTACTGCACTCCCCTCAGCACACTGTGCTTTTCCCCACTGCTGGGCCAGTGCACTCGCTGTCCGGAGGCTCACGGAGTCTGCCTCCCATCAACACCCACCCCCAGTCCTGCTACGGGGACTTGGAATTCAGAACAGATGGGGAGAGTTGGGGAACACCGCTGGCCTTTGCTTTTGAGCATCCTCGTCCTTCCTGAGAATGAGTGATGGGTCAGAAGCAAAACTGACCACCATTCCTTCTGCCAGTTCTCAGCGTCTGCCCTTGCTGGCCACCCTTCCTTTGCTGCCAGGCTTCTTAGCCTCTTGGCCATCCTTGCTCTGCTTCCTGCCCCCTGCCGCCCCGCTACTCTGAGGGCCACAGGCCAGCAACCCCCAGTGCCGAATTCATGCCACTGGGTCTGCTCTCCCTTGGTGGCTCTTCTAGGCCTGTGTGGCCCTCACTTGATTTGATCTGTGTGCTCTTGGGATGGTCTCCCCATCTAAACTTCTAACTTTCACTGCCAGGTTAGAGCAGTGCTCACCTGGGCCAGCTCTGCCCCTGTGCAGGAGACAAGGCTCTGGGGTGTGGGGATGAAGGATCACCAAGGAAGAGAAAGGAACTTTTTTTGTTTTTGAGATGGTCTTGCTATGGTAGTTCAGGCTGCCCTTGAAATTGTGATCCTCCTGCCTCAACCTCCCAAGTGCCAAGATTACAGGCGTGTGTCACCATGCCTGGCAGGGAACTTTAAAAAGGTGTAACCCTCCCTGCCACTTTTCGTAACCCGTGGCAGAGCACACCTGGGGCCCAGGTACTCTGCCTTTCTGCCCTGTATACTGATATCTATCCCTGAAATTTCCTCTCTGGTCTGTGTCTTCCCTCCTATGAGACCTCCCTGGACAGCGAGGTGTCTGTCTCACGCCTGCCAAACAGCACTAGTTTTCACGGCAGCGGCTCTCAGTGACTGCAGGGGCATTGGGTTGTGCCTTCTCCCCTCCACAGCCTGTCACACCTCAGCTGGGCATGTGTGCCTCAGCCTCACTTCCAGGACTGTACAAGGCTGGTCTCTCTCTGTGCAGGGGGAAGGAGGGGAAGGAGCACGTAAGGATAAAACTGGTTTTTACAAAGCAAGGTTGTTTGTACCAAAATATTTAATGAATATGTTGTTAAAATAAAACCAACAAAAGAAATAGTAATACAGTTTTACTGGTTTATATTTCAGTTTGGAAAGTTGACACAAAACTACCGTAGCACAATGTCACGCACCTAGTATTAGAAGGGCTTACAGCGGTTTTGGTAACTGAACAAGAGACACAGAAAGCGGCGAGGGACAGTCTGGGGGAGGAATCACCACTTCTCGTCTCCCTTACACAGATGACCTCAGCAGCAAGTGTTAGTACAGCCAACGGGGACAGAGATACAGAACAAGTTTCGTTATATACAAACCAGTGCCTCTGTAGCCAGCCACCTCCACTCTGAATGCAGGAAAGATGAATCATCTGTGAGATGGCCTGTCAGCGTATCACTATATAAATTAAAGGTCAAAGTGTTTTAATTAAAAAAGGTGCTAAGTCTCCATTCCCCGGCTTTGAGGTGAGGATCTGCAGCCCACCTGGACAGGGAGGTCAGACCCGGCCCGACTGCGGGAGGGCAGAGGCCCTGCCAGGGAGGAAGCGACGAGGCCACAGCCACGGAGACCTCGCGGCACATGCACACTCACACTTACACAGTCTTTCTCACTTGTGCAACCTGTCGTGCACACACACTAGGAGCCTTGAAGTGCGAGGGCCTCTTCACAGCTCCCATGATGGCACGGAGGAGAGCAGGGCCCAAGGAACCTTGAGTGAAATTAAGTGCCCAAATAATCACGGCAGTAAGCTGTGCAGATCAGCACTCCTAGTCTGAGACTTAAAACACTGTCGACTGGGTGTATTAGGAAAGGTGTGTGTGTGTGTGTGTGTGTGTACACATGACACATAAGCAAAATAAGATTTGTCCACAGTGTGATTAACACAGTCTCACAGCCACATCACCCACTCCAGCTTTGTGAAGTCGTTTTGGCAGCTAATGCTAAGAAATAGTAGGAACTATGAGAGTTGCATAGAGTTGATCAGAAATGTGTGAATAATGCCAAACCAAAAACCTGTGCATCATAGTTTCACAAAAGTAGGTGGTTTCAGCTATGACTATGAAATCCTTGGATTTAAAACAAAGTGCTTCTCCATGTCTACCTGGGGACCTTCTGCTGGCACTTACAGATAAGAATTATTTTAATTTCTGATCCCCTATTCCCAGTATATATAATATGTATACGTTTTAAAAAATTAAAGGTTTAGAAAAAAATCAACACACTGAAGGATCCCCAAACTCTGATCATGTAGGCTCAGCCTTGAGGCTGGGTAAAGTGTTGACCCACACAGGATGAGGCCTGGGAGGTCACACTGAGGAGTGATTTCCGGATGCGTCCGGAGCATCAGCGGAGCCGGCAGGCCCGGTGTGTCAGTAGTGAGGAGAGCCTGGCCAGAGGCTGCCAGCTGCAGGAGCTCGGGCCCAACAACCTACCCACATGCGTCTACACATCCGACTGAGTCCGTTCCGGTCTTGGGACATGTCACAGAATCACACATCTGGCCAAAGAAGGCAACAAAAGGTGGTGTTTTCGGAAGGTGTCTGGAGGCAGCAGCTGCTCTCAGCAAGTCTCTTTCCCCTGAACCCCCGTCGCCGTCTTAATGGAGCTCAGCGTTCGGTTAAACCAGGTCTTCTTGGCTGCCTGTACCTCATTGAGGGCGAGGCCTAAGTGGTGCTCCAAGTCCTGCAGAAGGAACAAAGCAAACAAGGCCCTGGCTCCAGCATCATTGGCACCACCTCCCCAGAGCAACGCTAAGACAGGAGTTCAGCCGTTGACTCTGGCGAGGCCTCTGGAGATTCCCCCAATCTCAAAACGGCCTGAGGAAAGTCCACAGGGCCCAGGGATCCAGAGGCTTTCCCATTTAAGAAATGGGAAATTTGCTGCTTCGCCTATTAAGCCAGCCTCCCAAATTGAGTGTTTCTCTTTCCTGTCCTCCTGCACACCAGACATAACGAATACTCTAGCTCGACTACATCACTCATTTCCAGCTAAACCTTTAAAGGACAAGTTCGCTTGGCGCGGCATTTGAGATGCTTCCCAGCCTAGGCGCACACACTGCCTGCCTGGGGACCACCTCGCCTCGCCTCGCATGCTCATGGTTCTTGCTCTTCTGCAGGTGCAAAACCTATCCATTCCTGACCACAGCTCAGAACTGCTGCCATGGCGACGCCCTTCAGGAT